GGGAGGGGGGGAGGATCTTCCACGAAATCGTAATTACAGCTCCGAGAGAAAACTATTCTAGGAGAAAGAGCATGAAGGAGAAGAGGTGAGTACGTATAGGGTACTTGTTCGAGTCACAAGTCAAGGAAGAATCTCTATGGTTTACCGACGCGCTAGCTGGATAATTAGCACGAGGTAGCCGTTAATTAGAAACAAAGTTGAAAGAGAAAAGAATGGTTAGAACGATGGCATGAACCATCTCGTGGTGGCAGGTCGTCACGATTTCCCTTTCAATGCCACCTGCGATGATGAGCTTCTTACGAGTCTTTGCTACTCATCTTAAACATATCTCTCTCATGCTTCTTCTTCTTCTTCTTCTTCTCGCATTTATCCAAATTTTATGACCCCTCGTAAAAAAAAAATAAAAAAATAAAAAAATACAGCCACATAGAAAAGCCACCATTAATTTATGACAAGATACAATGAGAGATTCTATCGACGATGAGAGATGCCGAGTCATCGTACTCTTCTAACACAAACTCAGTATAGAATGAAGAAAGACAATAAAATGGACGATTGGATTTGGTTATTTTCTTTCTCCTTATCATTTCATTATCTTCACACACATTCATATGGAAAAAGAGATAACTTCCTAGCGTGGATACAGTTCGACGGTGGTCATCGGAGAGATACGTCGTCGTCGTCGTCGTCGTCGTATGTTGTCGAATAGGCATCTATGTACCGTTGCAAAATCATCTGATGCAAAATAGAAAGAGAGGGTGGTGGGGGGCTAAGGAGGAAGGAAGAGAGAAGAAGAAAGGAGACGTTCGGCCTACACAGAACGGCGGTATCTTTATCTGGTAATTATTCACCAGGCCTCGGTGAACTCGTACGAAGGGGCCCTGGCACGTGCGTGGGAAGATCTTCTCTTCGCTGAAGGAAGAGGAAGAAGAAGAGGAGAAGGAGGAGGAGGAGGAGGAGGAAAAGGACAGTGGAAGAGGAGGAGAAGAAGAAGAAGAAGAAGAAGAAGCATAAGGAAAACGTAAAGGAAGTATAAAAGACGAAGAAACAAGACATCGTTGGCGAACAATGAAAACACTGCGAAAGAAAGAGAGGAAGGAGAATTGAGACACGGTGTGTAGAAGAGAAAGCGCGAAACTTTCGACTCTGTAATCTCTTCTTCGTGTAACGTCTGCTGTAATTCTAACTATACTTACTTTTACAGACCTAGCCCTCGTACACACATTCATCTTTCTCTCTCTCTCTTTCTGTCTTTCGATCGAACCATTCTTTGTGTCGCGTGCCAAAAGATAATAAACCGTAAACCGTTAGGACACTATCGCGGTACCACTTGCCGCCATTTGGAATACGGATGAATCAGACTGTCTTTAATAGTGTTCGAGAAAAAATGGCAGGATGGAGGAAAGGCAAATGCTATTTTCGATAAGCGTTAGAAGACGCGTATTTTTCATGATTAAATCGTATTTCTTTGCAAAGTAAAATACATTCGATGCGTTTCTCGATGCGTTCCTCTATGCGGAACGATAGAAGAGAGGGATGGATCCTTGGTAGATCGGCGAATCTATCGATCGATCGATCGATCGATACATGCGGTGCGCGCTTCGGAACGCTGACCTACCGCACCTTCTTCCGGATATAACGACGATCATTTCACATCGCCCACGGATCAAGAAGTTTGTCTTACATATCAATGGTCATTCGGGACATGCTTCCTGGATGAACAAGATATTTCCCAAATAGCATTGAATAGGTCTATCATTTTAATCCCAATGTTACTTTAATTACTATAATAAACAATTATTGTATATGATAATCTAGAAGGGAGGAGGAGTTTGAAACAAAAAGAAAGGAAAAAATAATGAGCGTTGTTTTACGTGAGAAAGATTGAAACGTTTCGTGACAAAATAACGTGGTGTAAAGGAACGTTGTTCCCGAACGTTAAAGCTTCGACTTCCTAGACGTCGATCGGATTATATCTTCTTCGGCTTCCTCTCTTTGGCTCACGACTCCTCCTCGTCGTTGTCGTCGTCGTCATCGTCTTCTGAATCGACTAAGCGAACAGGCAAAGAGGAAGCGCCATCGTCAGCGTCGTGCGGTTATAGGCCTGGCGTGCTACGAAACAACTACTATCGCCACGCCATGGTCTTCCCCTGCGGTAGGAAATGGGCGAGGTTGCTAAAGCGACCAATCTGACCTCAACGGTAACGTGACCCAATCCGTACCAGTCATGATCCGTTTTCTTCAATCCAGGACCCACAATTTATGGATCTTGTTTCGACAACCAGAATTCCTTGCACCACCCCCCCCCCTCTCCCACCTCCTCTATCTGTACTCCATCATTCGTTTTTCTTGAAAAAAACAAAAAAAAAAGAACGATTCCCTTTCGAAATTATCGATCGTTCGACAAAAGGAGAAAAAAAAATGTAACCGCTAGAAGAGTTGGGCTCTTTGTAAGGTCTCTCGTACAAATTTGTAATTAAATAAAGAAAAGAGAAATACAAAAAAAAAAAAAATTCTACGTTTTAAGAGAAAATGTATACAAAAAGTTGTTTCATTTGACGTCAGACCACGCGTATAAACGTATAAAAGGTAATGCAGCGCGTAAAGTGAAAGTATCTTTGATCTTTAAAAGATATTACGACGGAGCATCGAGAAGAACGGATGAACATTGCGATTTGGACGATAAACGACTAATTGGCGCAAACTCGAATCGGTTCAAATTGAACGGCACCTCGTTGCTAACTAACTAACGCAAACTTGGATGAAGAAGAAGAAGAAAAAGGAGAAGAAGGAGAAGGTTGGTTTTTTTTTTTTTTTATTCGAAGCGTGAAGCGCGCGCTATGCATTTTTCTATTTGAAATCGTGAGAGAAAAGTAAAGAAATAGAAATAAAGAGATAATGTTGCTAAGTACGTAGCTACAACGAGAGAAATCAGTTTTATTATCGTTCTCTTATTAGACGCTCAACCACTGGCAAGAATCTTCGACCTTATCAACGTCCTCGATGAGAAGAACGTAAAAGAGAAATCTTCCTTTCCGATGAAAGTAGAAATTTCTTTCGATGCGGCCCGCCGATGCGATTCGTCGTTGGAATTTCACGCGTATTCCGTTTTTCATCGATTCGTTTTTCTTTATTACGACAAAAGGACGTAGTAAGAAGAAGGGACGATGATACTTACTACTAACAATAACAAGTAAAAAGATTTAATTGGTGGAAGGATGAATTTTTGAGTGCTCGTTATACGTCCTTCTCGTAGATCGATGTCAAGTGGCGTAATTAACTCTTCCCAAGACGAAGATCATAATTTCAAAGTTTCGCCGTGGACTCCTTAGACTCTGGCAATTAAATTGCTCGTCCAGTCAATAATTAATACAACGAAGCTGCCTTCCTAACGTATAGAGTACTAGGGGTATACACATATATATATAGGGGGTGATCATTAAAATAGGTATCTTCCACGAATCCTGCTGCTACTTCGCCAAAGATATTATCTGACCTTAGTTAAAGATTTTCTCCTTAGATTAATAAATTATAATAAAGGACGACATCATGTGGAACAAATATATACATTCTGCCTCATATATCTATAAAATTGGATCTTTAAAAAAGATCATTTCTAAATGAATCCAAACACGCGATTATTCGTGAGCAACGATGCACACTCGTCGCTTGCTTAGCACGTAGATCTTATTTAGAAATTTTGTAAAGTAATTACAAGAGCAATGAACTTAGCAATAAATTCATAGAAAGTGTAGCTTTGTTAATTTCACTTGGCAGATAAGTCTTTCGAAGATACGTTAATAAATAAATGGATATAGTATAGTATAGTATACACTCCGTGGGGTTCTTGGGAGTTAGTTCGTAACACCTCTTTAAAATGTAAATCGAAATTTCGCCGCCAAGGCGACTATCCACCTACGCGCTCTTTCTTGCACGACTATCCTTCTAGTCCAGCTTAATAATTTATCCGTACCCGATACGTCAGATTTACGAGCGCATAAGCAAAGGCTCGATCGCTCCTTCGAGATAAAAATAAGAAAAAGGCGTGTCAATTTGTGACGCGCCATAAACATCGTAGTAGTAGTAGTAGTAGTAATAGTAGTAGTAGTAGTCTCGTTGTAGAAACCGTTACCAACGAGTAATGCGTGATTATCTCTAGGAGAGATAACAGACAACGAGGGGAAAAGTAAAGAGTAAGAGGAAAGAGGGAAGTATGTATAAATCGGGTTTAGGAAAGAGAGAACAAATGAAAAGTAAGACGAATCTACTTTGCGACGACGACTCTTAGCCTCGTCAATCTTTTCTCAGACGATTAAGTGAAATCGCAAAAGTTGAAAGTAGATCCCCGCCAGCAGCTTTTTCGAGGTTCCAAACAGGATTATTATTAAGGGAGACCGGAAAATCGTCCTCCTCTCTTCGTTTTCCAATGCGTTTTCACCTGACGATAAGAAGAAAGCCAATGACGATTCGTCGTCTCTTTCGTGCTCGACCAGAAAGAGAAGTAGAAAACCAGGAGAGTTGTGTTGTAGGCTGTATACGTCGAAAGGAGAGAAAAAGTAAAACGGGTTCGTGTTCGGACAAGAGCTAGAAAGGTGATAATTGGCGGCTTACTTTCTCGAGTAAGTAAGCGCTGTGCAAAGTGCTGCGCCTTTTCTGCGGCTCCGTGCTGCGCCATGTTGCAAGAAATAAGTAAGTACCTTTGCGTATCATAATTTGCTGTGACAAACCTTTGTCCAATGGTGTCCAATAAATCCTTGACACAATG